ATCAGTCCAGATTAGCATTCAATCAATTGGATGAATCGTCATTTTTGGATCGCTGAAAGAGTGATTTCAATCCATTCATAAACTTGGAAAAACCTTTCCGTTTATTGGAAGGAACTCTTTGTTCAAAGTATCCAGATCCAGATCCAGATGGTGTATCCGGTGATGGTTGTGAATCTTGACTTTGTTGATCACTAGGTTTTCTGCGCTGTTGCTGATCACTAGGTTTTCGACCAAGACTCTTGTTGTATTTTAATGATTGTTTTTCAAGGTAGCTTCTAATGAAAGGATTTGAGTTGATATCATAAAGTTTGCGACCAAATAATTTAGGATTCCAAGATTCTCCAAAAATGAGATCCACAAGCTCTACATTGATTTGCTCTACTTTAACTGTAAGATAACTATACTTGGACTCGCAGCCTTGAAGACTTTTTTTAAGATTGGCAAGTTTGGATTTTTGGATTTCAAAATCAAGCTTATTCTTCCGAATTTCACCATTATATTCTGGACCGTCACCGCTTGTTTGAGATATATATCCCAAAACTTGAATCTTTTTTTTCAAGCGCTTTACCAGTTTATGTTGATGGTCATATTGAGGTTTTAACGAGCCATATAGTTTTTCTTGTTCATCACGACCATGTTCTAGCTCTATGTACTCCTTGAGCAAATCCTTGATGATGTTTGGAATTGGATCAAGATTATCTAAGCCTATACCGTTTGGATTATGAGTTGGCGAGGTGATAGACTCGGTGCTTGTAGTTGCACTGGGATCAACTGGATTGGCAATAGTAACCGAGCAAGCAAGCAGGATTGATGACAATACAGCAACTGCGAGTTTCATTCTACTGGTTTGGTTGAGCAAGTTGCAATGTCATTCAACAGGTCAAGTTTTGGATTGTATTTATGTCGGTTATTGAGTGGATAATATTAAAAGCATGTTTTTGGGTAGCCGTTTTAAGGGTTAGTGTTGTTGTCAGGGTTGAATGGTGATTTGTTGTCAATGCCAAACTTTGAAGAGTCTCCCTTTATATGATATCCGCAACCTTGGCTGAGCTGCTATCTGACCATACATTCAAATATCATATGGTTGATTATAAAGCTTCACTCTGAAAAGGGTTAGGGTTGAGAAATGAGTATAAACCAAAACTGGAATAAGTTGACACTCGGCTATTAGTTGGTCATCAATATGTGTTGTGATATTCCATGCTTGTTAAAATAGCAAGTGACTGGCATGATTCAACGTACAAGTAGTGTATAATGAGCATCGGATGATACCGGTTTACTTGAACAAGAGTGCTAAATCTGTTGGAATAAATGTAATTTAGTCGTCTATTTCTGTACTACATTTTACACCCTCATTGTTACACAATATCAAATGTCTGCAAAAAACAGCTGGAAATAGAGTGCGTTTGTAGGAATAGGAAACACCATACACAAGATGACAGCAGTATTGCGTACATACAAATCAAAGTATGCTATCATGATTGTCAACAGATTGATTGAAAACAACTTTATATCCAACTTGCTCATCAACAACCAACAACTCTGCAAGATCCTTCTTGCCAATATCACAGTATCTGGATGGAAATACGGAACCGATTCAAATTGCTGTCAATCAATACTGTCATTCAACACTGCAAGGCTGACATTGACAAGTTGTTTGACATCTCATTATCTCCAAAGAAAAACGGAATCCAGACCAGATTCGTTTGGAATGTCAACAACAACTGACTGTTTGTTGCTACATCAAGACTCGTCAGTACAGACCCACACAATACAATGTAAAAAGTATCAGGCAACCAGATACAAATGAACTGTTTGTCTGCAATATGCTGCATCA